AACGTATACTCATACGGCAAAAAAGTCTATTAACCGGCAGTTGACTTCTCACTTCAAACTACCATCACCCCACTGTGTGTGGTCATATTCGACTTCTTCCACAGTACTCACCTCACATTTTTTCTACCTTAGTATCTGTCTCTTTTACATCTTTGAAACACTCTACTGTTCCCCCTCCCCTCTCGACTTTTTTCAATTTGATGTTCCTCCCCTCTCTGTGAAGCCTGAAGTCAACTAAAGGACTAATGATAACCATCAAAACGCCTGCCATTTGATATAAATAAATATCGATTTGTATCAGGTGGATTCAAATTCATACCACTTTGTTCGACTCCCAAATCAAAGTATTGAAAAGTAGAAAGTGAATAGTCTCAGCAGAGAATGGAGGTCCCTCATTGATGCATAACACGCTAATTTATAAGTCTTCTCATTTCGGTAATATAAATAATTCCAGCCATGGTATACCTCAAATGGGTAGCCTTGATATATATAGGTGACCAAGTAGCCTGTATCATTGACAGCATAGCCTTGAGGGTCTTAGAGAAGGTAATGGCACTACTTAAGGAAGAATATTTCGAGCATTGTTAAAGATCTCTCACTTGTTAATTGAGATTTCTCAAAGCGAGGGAAGCGTTACATTACAATGCAAAACACACCGCTTGTGTGTAGGGGTGTGATCCGTAACATCGTCAATTTAATGTGAGAGAAACAATTCGAAATTATTGACTTCATCAGTTCAACTAGTTTACTACATAAGGAATTTGATAGCCTGCACACTGACTCCACTCCCTAACCGTTAGAAGGAAATATGGGTTGAAATGACAACAAAAAAACGATCAAAATAAAACAACCAGTCAGCAAGACTCCCGACTGGAAATTCCAGTTCATAAATCACCCATCAAATAAGCGTTGTGCAAGCCTAGTCCAAAAGTCTTTCAACATTTTTGAACATTCTTCAATAAGTTGGTCTCTTAGTAATCAATTTCCGTTGCTTTGGGGATTACGTTACAGTAAATTATGTTAAACCCCCAATATTTTCATAAAGTCAACTCGATTACCTTAGCATGCTACTAAGTAACTGAGTCATTCATTCCCACAAAGAGAGCTCCACGTAATGTTCAACTTGGGCGCTTCGAAGGAGCACTAATACCAGTATTTTCATCGTGTTTAACTAAACAAATTCAAAATATGCTCGCCCCAAAACACTCCACTTGCATGCATACGCCTCACACAAACCTCAATTTCTGTGGTTTCTAGCTCTCTTAATTAGGACCTTGTTGTAGTATGAGTAATGCAAAAATACCCCCCCCCCTCCCATTAGAAGTGAATGCTCGATAGATTAAATAGGTGATCTAGCGGAAAAAGCTTATAAAACGTTGGCCAAAATAGCGAACATTGACTAGTCGAACGTCGGCCAATTCAATAACCTGTCAATATACCTTAAAGCGATCAAAGGAAAAAACAGACGGAACCTCATGGACTAAGAGGCCCACTTTTCCTTTGCTAATCCCCAACTTGCATACCAGCATTATAGAAGTTAAGCTATTCAGACTAAATAGGAGAAAACCCATCACCTATAGGGCAATAATAATAACAGTAAAATAAGGTGCAAGCTGGGTTAAAAATCTTCAATTCCAATGATAGAGCCAAAGGATAAACTGTGGCAACCATGAAAGCAGAGGGAAATAACTAATAGCATAATGAGGGAGGATTTTTTGTGACTATTTATTGGGGTTGGGTGAAAATGATACTAGCACAAGTAACATTAATGATGATAACAAAGGCGATCCGAAGCAGACCGAAAGTAAATGTCAATTATAGGAATGAAAAAAGAAAGCAACTGATGAAGTTGCCATTTATTTTGTTAGTAGATAGTAATGATACAAGACCGGGCACTGTGAGAGTGAAAATAGTGAGTCTTAGATATCAGCACAACTAATGATGACGGTGACAATAAACTACATTAAAAACGTTGGGGATACCGCCATCGTCTAAGGAGATGAGGACGCCCAGCAACTTAAACAGGAACAGAATTCTCAAGACGCTCGTTCATGGGTTTCTTATTCTTGTAGCTGTTGTAGTAGATCAACATCTTTTTGATTTCACCAATGGCCTTGCCAGGGTTCAAACCCTAAACACGGGAATAGCAGACTATTAGAACGACTCAGAAACTTGAATTAAGTATCAAGAGTCACTAAAATACCTTGGGGCAGGTTTCCGTGCAGTTCATGATAGTATGGCAACGATAGGTGGACCACTTGTTCTGCATTTGCTCCAATCGATCGAAGGTGTAATCGTCACGAGAATCAATCATCCAACGGTATGCTTGTTGGAGGACTGCAGGACCGAGGTATTTATCAGAGTTCCACCAATATGATGGGCAAGATGCAGAGCAGCAAAGACACAGGATGCATTCATAGAGACCATCCACCTTTTCACGGTCCTTGACGGATTGCATGAAGATTTTCTCACCAATTTGCTCGTCGGAGAATTCTTTCTTCTTCAGGTAGGGCTCGATCCAGCGATATTGAGCATAAAAGTTAGCCATATCAGGGACAAGATCCTTAACAACGTACATGTGAGGAAGTGGGTAGATCTTGGTGACTTTGTTTTCCTTAGGGATTGCACAGAGGCAAGCAAGACGGTTTCGGCCGCCAATGTTCATTGAGCAAGAACCGCAAATACCCTCACGGCATGAACGACGGAAAGTAAGAGTTGGGTCACATTCAGTCTTAATCTTAATGAGAGCATCAAGAATCATGGGGCCACAATGGCTTGTATCAATAGTGAAAGTTTGCATAAATGGTTTCTGTTCAGGCTTGTCAGGATTCTAGAAAACCAAAAAATTCACTAAATATGAGATGAGCACATATTATAAAGTAGAAAATGAGAGATACGACTTACATAACGGTATATCTGAAAAGTCCTCATCTTAGAACCGGAGCTAGCATATCTAGCGGACTGAGCGAAAGCATTTCCAAATCGGGGAACAAATCTCACAAGCGAATTCATATCCAAAGCGAAAATGAAACAACGTTTATTTAGCGCCACAGAATGATCAATGATATTAGGGTTTTAAACATTGTATGTTCGTACGCAAAAAATCTGGAAACTTAATCTGAAATTGACGAAGAATTATTTATTCAACTCTTGAAGTGAAATGAAATTTGAATTAGAATAATCTTTTAAATATATAAATATATATTATAAATATATATAAAATTCAAAGATTCAAGAAATTCACATTCACTTTTAATTCAACAGACTTTCAAATTATACAATATTTTCCTAAATTGTGGTCAAAAAATTGGCATATATCTAAGTTTGCCTCATTATTTCATGACACGATTAATCACTATATCTCAAATTGGTAAATACTCAAACTTATCATAATTTACCAGTGTTATCTATTTATGTAATCGACATTCTTTATTAGAATGGTTGTTTGCTAGTGTATCCCAGGTATGGCTTCTGTAATATCGTTTTCGACTCTATCGCCATAATGTATTTTCAATCCAAATATGTTTGAAACCAGATAATCTCCTTACCAAATATGTCCATGGGATCAAGCAATTAGCATCGCTATGAAAACTATTTCAGTCATGATATATGATATGTATAGTACCCAAGTTTTAAAATAAAATAAAATATGTTATGGTGCGGATGCTATATTGAGAACAATACAACTTAAGTATATATGCCTAAGGAAGACTCGATTTTTATTTTATATTTGTAAAATAATCAGAATAGCTAAGAAGTACAATAGAAAAGAACTCAGTGTAAATCAATTAATGACAAACAACGAACAATCAAAACTTTATGATACCATGAAATTCAAATTGAAATAAGCATATTATCATGAGTATTATATAAATGAAATCACCACAATAAAGCTTTAGATATGCATTGAATATCCACAAGTAATTTGTATTTATCCGAGGTGCACGATAGCCTTGCCTCTACATGGTCCACCCTGGAAATAAGTATTCTCATACGGCACTCTCTGACATAGCCGAGTGGCCAAGAATCGAAGCCGTTGCAAAGTTTAGACTACGTATCGGACACGATTGCCTGGCAAAACACCTTCACAGATTGGGAGTATACACTCGACCCATATGCCTCCTATGTAATCTACGGGAGGAAATGGAGAAGACCCACTTGTTTCGGTGTCCA